CCTGCTGCAGTCTTTATTTTGTAATCTGAGCATTGGATGTGATGATAACCTTCATTAAACACAGAGAAACAAATGGTAAGTTGCTACATATTTCTGGCCAGAAGACAGTATATATACTCTTCTCATAGATGAAAAGATAAAAAAGGTTTAAAATGTTTACAAAATGCTATCATAATTGAACAATTTAAAAAACACAAAATATCCTTTATTATACAACTGCATTTGTCAGGGACACTCAGTGGTCTAAACTCTAACTTGAGGCCTCTCTCTTTGAGGATATGTATTTACTGAGTTCAATCTAATTAATCTAATCTAATTTCTCACCATCAATGCGAATGTGACAAGTCTTTAAGGAGTTGATTCTGCTCCCAACTTGGTTAAAATCAATACAACTTCAAATGTGTAAGCAGAAGTGGAATTCATCCAGCATGAGTTGTAACTACGTAAAAATTCTAGTGCTTTAAAATGCCTTCCTGAGCAACAGAAAATCATGTATCAAAGATTTGGAAGAGTCAGTATATATGAGAATGCAAAATGAAGCCTTTGAACTGCTGTGTCGGTGCGTTCTTCGGTCTTTTACAAAAAAAAAGAGAAAGGAAAACAAACTTGCTGGCATGCTAATTAGGAGGAGCGTTGCCAGCAGGTCGAGGGAGGGGATCCTGCCCCTCTGCTCAGCTCTGGTGAGGCCGCAGCTGGAGTATTGGGGGCAGTTCTGGGATCCCCAGGACAAGAAGGACATTGAGCTTCTAGAGAGGGTCCAGTGTAGAGCCACAAAGATGATTAAGGGACTGGGGTATCTATCTTGTGAGGAAAGACTAAACGAGCTGGACCTGTTTAGCCTAGAGAAGACTGAGAGGGTATCTGATCAATACATATAAATACATATACATGTACATAAATACATAAATAAATGTAGGGAGGATGGGGCCAAGCTCTTCTCCGTAGTGGCCTGTGGTAGGACAAGGGGTAATGGGTGCAAGTTGAAACATAGAAGTTCCACCTCCATGTGAGGAAAAACTTCTTTCCTGTGAGGGTGACAAAGCCCTGGAACAGGCTGCCCAGAGAGGTTGTGGAGTCTCCTTCTCTGGAGATCTTCAAAATCCACCTGGATGCCACCCTGTGCCACCCGTTCCTTCCAGCTTGAGGAGGGAGGTTGGACTAGATGATCTCCAGAGGTCCCTTCCAACCTCAACCATTCTGTGATTATGCTATCCAACATGCCCAATTTAGCCAATATAAAATACCTCCCTTGGTAGTTAAAGCTTCTCTTTTTTTTTTCTTTTTTCTTTTTTCTTTTTTTTTCCACATCTTTTCTTTTTGAATTTGGTACCAGACGTACTGCAGTAAGAGGCAGGCTCCACTTTTCCTTCAGTTGCCACTTTCCGTCCTCTCTGTACTGCTGACTGTGAACAGATGATTTTTCTTTTAGCGAAAGAGAGCGCCTCTTCCATTAATGTGTTTTTTAAAAGGCTCCTGGTAACTGGTGTAGAAGCTATTGCCCCCATGGATCAATCACTGAGGCTGTGTGAAGAGCCCAGTCTGTGCTCTGCAGCCTGGCTTATGAACATGCTTTTGAGCATGGCTCTCTCACAAGGCATTTTCTGAGTCTACTGTGATTGCGCTGCATGTTCTAAGGTCCTTTAAACTCCTAAACTGAGGGATGTGACCAACTCACCTCCCCTTAGGGCAGTCCTAAAATCTCCTTTGCTTTATTGCTTTTCAATGCAATAATGCATGTGCCAGTGGAATAAAATGATTTTTCCAATCCTTCCAGCACTTTAGGTAGTCTCTTCCCTAAACCATAAATGATTGAAAAACCATTCACATCAGTTACTTTACCAGGAAAGAACTGAAAAATGAAATATCAGAGCAGGGCTGAAAAGGTGGAAACAAAGGAGGAATTTCTTCCCAAAAAGTGTTTTCTGTCTGCTAATATTAAAAAGTTGTAGAAATATATTTCAATATAATAAATGTCAAAATTGTAACCATAGTGTTATTTGATTATCATTTTCTGTTTTAAGTAACTGCTTTCTAAAATTACAAGATATAACCTTTATTACATTTTAATGGGAAAAAATCCAACAAACACTTCAAATCTTAGTCCTAGATAACGTTTCTTAATTGTGTGCTAGTAATCTTTCGTGTTTTTGATCTTCCTGGAATATTTCCAGTGACATAGTATGAAGGCATTTGAATGTATTTTTTAATGATTCTGTTGCACAGTTTGACTTTATCTATGCTTGGCCTGTCAGTAGATTCAGATGTTGTCTACCTTAAACGACTTCAAGGCTTGCAAAGGTCAGGTAAACCTCATTTGATTTTACTGCATGTTAAAATAATCACACCTGCGCTTTTGTTACTGGAAACCATTAAATGAATGGGCCAGTGGAGCATGATAAATTTTTTTGCAATGAGGATAAGGGAATTTGCACTAAAGATTTTCCAGTAAGAGGAGAGTCTTTCCATTGTGATACATTCTGATAATCTCTTTTCCTGCCAATTTGGAACACATTGGGCCACTTCTGCATTGTTAACCTTTCAGCCCCTTCCTCAGTTAACTCTAAAATATTTTCTTTCAAATCATATGTCGAAGAGCAAGCAGCAGAAATTTGATTGGCAGCTCTGATGAAACATAGCCCAAGAAGAATAAAAACATTCTAACTCCTCATCCAAAGCTGCAACATTATTTGGATATCCTGATCACCACGCTTCATGTGCTTTAAATTTTTTTTCCGGTTGTATTTTATTCTTCCTGAAATAGAAAAGTCAAGAGCAGTACAGTACCAGTTACTTACTCAATTGTGTTCCTGTCCACTTTGCCTGTCATATTAATGCCATAGAACTGCTGCATGGCAGCTATAGCTGACTGCATGGTTTCTGCAGAGCGCAGCACCGACATTCGGGGGTCAGTTGGTGGAAGGTAGCCGTACTTTTGTAACCATACCTGCAATGACAAGTGCAATGGCTTTTGAATAGAAGTTAGAGGTAAATAATATGCTTCCCAGTAGTTAGCTTTGTATCACACATGACAAAGTTTTTAATTCATCGAGCACAAATCCCGTTAGTTTAGTATTTCACAGAGGAGAAAATATTTTTGGCTTTTATTTTCTCCTTTAATAAAGATGTTTTAAGACTTAGGACTTGTGTTTTGTAGCCAGGAGCTCTCTCTCTTTATTCTGCAATTTCAGTTCCCTCTTTCAATTATTTATTGAATGTATATATTTGTCTCGAGTTACAGCTTCGGCACCTCTCCCTAGCTCAAGGCACTTCAAGAAATTTTACGTAATATTATTCAGTAATTATAATAATAAATCCACAGTATATCTCACAGAATGGCAGTACACTGGCATTTTTCTCTTAAAGAACATGAAAAAGAGGGTGGGGAAAGATTCAGCTTTCCTGGAAGATTACTGCACTCACATAGTGATAAGCAAAGCAGTTGGCTGGAGGACAGGGAAGTAGGAGAGTCTGAGCCCACTTATGGGAAAATCCCTAATGACAGGAGCCTCCATTTTAAATGAAGGTGGATTGAGTGCCGAATGTTTTTCTTAATTGTGTAGAGAGTGAAAGGACTTGGTCCCAATCACTGGAAGTTTTATGAATTAAAGCCAACATCTTACATACACCTGGAAAAGCAGAAGCTCTCACAGCACTCTGAAATATGCTCTCTTCTTGAGGCAATATTTAATATACATATAGTACAGTCATCCTAATGTTCCTATGCATTCTCAAAAGCCAGTCTCTATAGGGCATACTGCAAGACTTTTGAAGGGATAAGAGCACTGATGCATCTTTAAAAATATCCTCAATGGCTTCTCATCTGAAGCTCACTACACTGAAAGGTACATATATTGCTCCTATACAACACTACAACATACTTGCTCAGCCTCGCTTTTCCTGGTAACAGTTACCTGTGACTCCATCAATCCGATCTTCTTTAAAAAAAAAAGAAAAAAAGGAACACATATATATAAACTTAGACATCCCTCACAAATATATCATGTGCAACTTCATGGATTCTGGATTGTTGCATTGATGTTATCCACCCACTCTCCCTCTGGAGCGTGTTGTGAGATTTGGCTACTTCATACATGACTTCTGGGTTATCTGTCTGTGCTTTTATACTCTTTCTGCATACCCTGACACCGAAGTACAAGGTTTGTGATTCTCAATCTAATGTTAGGTTGCAGAGTCAATCTGATCCAGTTCTGTAGCAAGACAACAGTGTTGGTAGCACATTTCCAATTTACAAAAAACAATTCACTTACTTACTGAATAATTCACAGAATTCACTTAGCTAGAGTGCCACTTTCTGGTTTTCCTTCTGTTACTCAAGGATGGCTTGAAAGGCCATACAGAGTTGAGAGGTTGACCAGAGTGAAGCGAGATGTGGAAACAAGACTATGGGAGTAACAGATCAGTCTGACACAAGGCTGCAAGGATTTCAAGGTAGTATGTAGAATTCCTTTGAATTAATATTCACAAGACATATAATTAAGAATTAAGAATTATTTTGGGACTCATGCTGTCAACTTTTTGAAGAAAGGGCAAAGGAATCAGTGTCAGAGAGTGATATTAAAACAAACGATCAATCACAGAAGCAAAGTAATTCTGAGCAACATGGCACTACTGCCTGAATGGATCCTACTCTGTTGCCACCCTCTCAGCATGAGTTTGGGACACAGACATGAGCCGGGCTCCCCATGAAGATCTCTCCCAGCACCTAAGGGCACACAGAATTGCTTGGTAAGCTTGTGAGGCCGCCTATCACCACAGAAAACAACACTCACTGCGGCGTAACTGAGAGAGACAGAAATATGCCTTTATAACTTACCAAATTTACCAGAAGCTGAAGCTTATCCTAATTAGAAAAATAAGAAGAGACTGATCATGGAAAAGGTAAAGGAGTCTTCCAGATAAACTGCAATTAAGCAGAGTCACTGCAGACACAGAGGAAGAAGTGGTTCAAAAGACAATGTAGTCTCTTGACTTCTAGAGACATCTCTGCTAAATACAGATGCCTGATAATCCCTCCCTGTCATTGAAAAGGAGACGCCTGGGGTCTTTCCTCAGCCTTCAAAACCTCTAGTAGAGCACGCAGGTGACATACTAGAAACTCAGCTGACTCTGCCCGCAAGCACCTAGGCAAACTGGTCTCCGGATCATTTAAGCAGTAAGTGCTGAAGAGTGTGTGAGCTCAGATATTGTATGAATGCTACTGTGTTCTGAGAAAGAGTCATGCAGCAAGGCATGAGACAACAAATCTGCTCACTGTTTCATTCCGTAGTTTTCCCAGTCCTCTACTAATAAGCAAAATTGCTTCAGTGTGCCAAATAACTGAAGTATGCCCTTAAGATTCTATATTGTGTATAGCCCAAATGCTGGAAACTATGAGGGAAAAAAATAAGTTTAGAGTGAAATCCAAGACATATATGTGAGGAAAACAACAGTGAGGGAAAAAAAAAAAAGAAAAATGAACAAAAAAAAAAGAAAAACAACAGAATGAAGCAGCACAGCAGGAGAATAAATTAAAGCCTTGTTTCATTGTTGTTGTTGTTGTTTGAGACTACGATATTAAAGAAATTATGACAAGAATTTCCCCCTTCCCCTCTACTGAAATTAGATGTCTCTGTCTTAATACACTTCAGTAGTGTTAATGTAATGCTGGCAAGGAACTGTATTTTCAGAAGCTATCTATTACTCCGAGGAACTCATCTATTACAGAACAAGAATATAGTGAAGTAGACTCATCTAACATGCAGCCTCTGGGACACCCACAAAGATGCTTGGCACAAACTCTGAAACCGGTGATATCTCCCATGCCTTTCTGCATTTTAGAAATATAAAATATTGCCACTTCAGGAGGAGTTTTTAGGCAGGGCTTTCTAATTCTACAGCAGCCTGACAGTTCCCTCTTACTGTAACCATGGACAAACAAAGCTTGAAGACAACAGGTTCCACCACCTCTATCTCTGTTCTGACACTTTACTGTCCATTTGTCTGGCACTGTGATGTTTGTCTTCTTAGAGTCAAATTTCCCTCGTAAATTAAGGCTGTAACCTCTCACCTCATCTGCTATGCGTGAGGAGAATTGCTTATTCCTTTCCCCTTTGCAATTGCTTTCTTTCAAACACATTTCTCAATTCTTACATGAGTCAGTCTTTCTAATCTTTTTAAAATAAAGAAACCCCATCTGTTTAATCCCAGAGACTTTTCATTGTTCATATTAACCTCTTGGAACACAGAAGCTAAAATTTCACTGTACTAAACATCCGCTTGCACTAGATTTGTATAGCATTCCTATTGCTAGCTTGTTAACAAACACTGGAAGCTGTTACTCCAACACAGGCATTGAAGCATTTAATTTGGGGGGGAAAAGCGCAGAATCAAAATTTGTGTAAAATCATATTTTTTTCTCACTATTTGAACTATGGCTTACACCAGGTTTATTAAGATATTTTAAAATGGTGAAATTCTCCTTTGCATATGCCTTTTCCACCAGACAAAAATCCCCATGTAACTGCAGCTCTTATTTTCTAAGGAATCTTATATCTAGGTCTAAGGAAAAAGGATAACCAACAGGTGGGAAAACATTTAAAGGTGCTGCGAGTTTTACAGGAATCTGTCATTCCTACAGAAGTCTGTGGACTGTAAGTGCTCAGCATGCACAATTCAGATTTTGGATGTCATTGACTAGGTGCTTTTTTTTTTTCCCCAACACCTTTTCCTCTTATTTGCAATTGATACTAATGTTGGATCATCTGGCAAAGGAATAGCTGCCATTTTGTTTGTCACATCTCTATATCCTCCAACCTAAAGGATAATATACGGGACAATTTAAAAGGTACTTAAAAATGGACTTCAGCCATCCAGTTCTTTGTTAGTTGGGAAAAAAAGAGTCCTCTCAACAACAATATATTGACTCCCTGATTATTAGTAAGAATCAAGAACATCCATATATCATAATTAATGATAAAGCAAGAATATTATGAAGACAACCAGTTTCAGAGAGCTTAGTAAGTTTTAATATAGAGAACATATCAAGGAATTATTCGTGTTACCGAATGACAGTACATAATATAAGCTACAGTACATTTATGTTCTATAAACCTGAAAGCTTAGTAAATCAAACAGTCTGATAAAGCATGGATCAAAACAATTTTGCAAACACCTTCAGTAGTACAGCTACATGTCATTATTATTCATGTATTCCTGTTTCTTTTTTTTAGATTTATCATGCAAACACAAATCCTAGGGTTGCTCAGTAAAAATGCAATATTTCATAATTTCAAAATATTACATCTCTACCAAAGACACTATAAATAAGAAGATTTAATATAACTGAGTAATTCAGGAGATTAATTTATAAATCTTAGATTTAAGAACCTGACTCTCACTGAACACCAACAGGATTTAGTAGTTTAAGTGCTGATTTCATTTTGAAAAGAGGAGATTTTTACTATGCTATAGACTAATAAGCTGACTCCAGAATCAGAAGCAGTATAGCTAAGCTAATGCTCCATGTAGGCCAATTTATGAAACACCTCAGTTAGTTAGTACACCTTAGTACACCTTAGTTAGTATCTGCATTATATTTTCTCTTCAGACATAACAGCTTGTTACTGGTGCTTTGATACCACGAGAAGCAGCTCTGCCCAGCTCTGGCGCTGGTAGAGGACTTCTCAAAGTGTAGCCCAGCATTTGAAGAATATATAATTTTTTATTTTATTTTTTTGTATTCAACGTGCTTTTCTCCTAACGTTACTGCAATACTACAAGTTGTTGACAGTTAATGGTGTGCTTTAATTAGAGGCCTAACTACTGCAGTTGATACTGACTTTCCAGCGACAACCTAAGGTGATAAATCAGAAGAAAGTATTTACACTGGGCAGTGTGATGAATCTTCTACAGGTTTTCCTACCTATTAACTCCAATTACACCAGTCTC